GATAACTTGGATTTGGTGTATTTCAAGAGAATAATGAGGGGAACACAACAGTTAATTTGCCGGCAGTTCGTTAAATAAGCAAAACAAGGAAAGATGGGAACTTGAGAGTCATTTATTGCTGTGTCTCCTCTGTTTCAGGTAGCGATAGTGCGTAGTGGTGACGTGCAGCGCCTGTCCTTTCCTCTGACTGTAGCCACCTTCTTCACTTCCACCTCCTGGGTCCTCTACGGCCTCCAGCTGGGCGATTACTTTATTTTGGTAAGACCCAACAAAACATGCACCCAAATCAACAAAGACTCACTCAACATTGTTTCTTGATTCAAAAGCGTGCCAGTATCCTTAATGCTTTCATTCTTTTACTTCTTCTTGTCTGTATTTCATTCCAGGTTCCAAACACGCCTGGAATCTTCACCAGCCTCGTCCGATTGTATCTGTTTCGAAGATTTGCGTCAGTCAGTCAAAGCACACCTTCCTATAAGTCTATGCTGATATGAAGATATAAGGGAGAGATGAATGACTTCACAGCGGGCTGCAGCAAAGCTCTACAATCACTCGTCTAGTTTATTCTATTAGACTGACAGGCAGAGTCGCATTGGAAAAGCAAACTGGATGACACCACTGAAGAAGACAGACTTGTTTTTGTTGAGGGGAGACAATATGATTGAGTTCTGCATCAGTTTCTGCAGTTTACGTTAAAATATCTCCACTCCATGACCTTAAAGTGCCTTCTGTTGGATTGTGCTTGCCATCAAAGAACAATGGCCAACATGTCAACAGACTTATTATCATTTCACAAGTGAAGTAGATTGAATCTTCTTCACTTTGTATTAGCCAAAGATTGTTTCTGGAGTTGTTACTTGTGGCTGCTATTTTCAAATCAAATATATATCCTCTGGTCTCTTGTACCCATATTGTGGAGTAATCTAGTTTAGAGTTCCATACATTTCTCATTGTTCTGGTGAGGCAATGATTATGTTCCTTGAGAGTTGGTACTAATGTCTGCATCATGATGCAGACAGAATATCCAGTCAGTGGCAGTAAATGATTATTATTGATAAGTGTTTTCTATATATTTTTCTGTTTTTTTCAAACAGAATATTTATGTTGGCTTGCGTCCAATATAAAATATTGTCTTCTTATGTTATAATTGCTATTTTTCTAAGCTCTTGGGACGACATATTTAAAGATTAACAATTTAACAAGAAAGGGTAATATTTTTTATTTTTTTTAGGTGGCTGCTGTTAATGGTTGAAGGGGTCTTCTTTTCTCCTCTTTATTGTCGGTAATAAAGACACATGTTATGCAATTTAAACAGCTGTAAGCTATGTAAGTATGTAAGGTCTTTAATAGGTGACATGTAAATACATTTGTACCTGAACTAACACTGACTGTTATTCATCTGATTGCTGGTTATTCTTTGAACATGGTGGATATGAAAGATGCTTTTGCTTTGCAAAGGAGAGAAAGCCGCACTTGACCCTTTGAAGTGGGATGACTTGTGCTGTAGTGTGGAGGGTTTTGTTTTGGACGCAGTAATGTGCGTGTGCGTGTGCGTGTGCGTGTGCGTGTGTGCGTGTGTGCGTGTGTGCGTGTGTGCGTGCGTGCGTGCGTGTGTGCGTGTGTGTGTGTGTGTGTGTGTGTGTGTGTGTGTGTGTGTGTGTGTGTGTGTGTGTGTGTGTGTGTGTGTGTGTGTGTGTGTGTGTGTGTGTGTGTGTGTGTGTGTGTGTGTGTGTGTGTGTGTGTGTGTGTGTGTGTGTGTGTGTGTGTGTGTGGACAAAAGCCTGTTTGATGGTGCAGCAGTGTGAAAGAGCTTGTTTGTGCGAGTGTGTTGATACAGAGAGGGCAGTGGTGGGAAAGGCCATGCCAGAGGTTCTCATCCCAAGTGTGTGTTTGTGTGTGTGTTTCATCGTTCTCTCTTCCTGAGCTCAAAGCGCCTTCCCCTTACACAAAACATAGACACAAAACAGTATTGTGCTGGAATTGAGTGTAACACAGAAAAGTTAGAGGACTGAAGGTGGGAGATAAATGAGCTACAGTTAAAAGAGTAAAACAAGAAAGAGAAAAAGGCTGACTCTTTATGGAGGAAGAGTTTAGAAAGCAGAAGGGAAATTGTACAAACAAGACTGAGGTGGGAATGGGGAAACAGGGACAACAATTGAAAGAATTCAAAAAAATTGGTCTGGCTGCTTCTTTAAGTTTTGATTTAACATGACAATAAGTAAGCTAACAGCAATGCTAGCAACCAGCTGTATAAGTACACTAATGTTCGAGCTAAATGTGAACAACAACATGCTAACATGCTCAAAGTGAGCTTGTTTACCATGCTCTCTGTCTTCATTCAACTTGTTAGCCTGAAAAAAAAAACATAGGCTTCTGGTGAAACTTTTTAGCTTCTTATATTGTTATTCATAATACGTATCATAAGAATTAAATTTTATATCTGAGCATGAAGTGAGTACAACAAGTTAGATGATAAGGCACAAGATAATAACTCGTTCACAAAGATAACAACTTGTTCAAACAAGATAATAACTTGTGCACACAAGACAAAAAACAAATACTGCTGAAACAAACTTCAAATAGTTGTTCAGGCTTTTCCCTCTTAACCCCTACCCAATGGAAACGCTAAAGTAAGGTCTGACAGTCACCAAGTGAACATGTGTTATCTGGGTAACCATTAATGTCTGTGCACTTTTTCCCATTCCATACAGAAGACGTTTAGATATTAAACATTTTACCTTGCCTAACACTAACAAACAAATCAGTAATCCTCATCCTCTGGGGACCTGAATGTGTACAAAATTACACCAGTGTAATCCTTCCAGTCAGTAGCTGTGGAGATGTTTGAGTCTGGGCTGTTAAGCTGTAACTGCAGACACACTGACAATGCAATCCCTAGAGCCCGTGTAAGCATGGCTGACGATGTGAGCAGGGGAAGAGAAAGCAGAAAGGTTGGAAATATTGTAAACGTAAAACTTTGGACAAGAAGGGATATCTCTGGACTGGAAAGATGTAAGTTTAATTGAATGAATGCCAAATTTAAAAAAAAGAAAAGAAGGAAGAACAATATAGTGTAAACCCCTGAGACTGCTCATCCTGAGGGAGAGCTAAATCTGAATGAAATTTCATGGCTATTGAAACAGTTGTTTAGGCTTTCCCCTGAAATATAAGCCAGCCTGTTCTGATAAACAACAAAGATGCTGATAAGATATGGCCTTGAGAATATAAATGCGTCATTTAGGGTGGAAAAAGGGGGGTTTGGCAGAAAGAAAAATGAATACACGATGAGTCCAGGACAAGATAAGGCAGTATTGGGTGTCGTCTGTTCCTCTGGTGAAAAGAGACAGACATCATTTAGGTTGGAGGGACAATGCATGGAGTCAGATAGACTGGCTGCACACACCCCTCATTACAAGCTGTGGTCTTAATGTGAAGAGACGTGTTAAATCAAAGGACAGCCTCTTATGCTGATGTGTACACGTCTTGGTCCACAGCCAAATAGTAACTATGTTTGGTACATGAGTGTGTGTGTGTTTGTGTGTGTAGAAGTGGGGGTGTTGGGGGAGGGGGGGGTAATCAGCTGAACAATGAGTACAACTCACAAACAGGATCCCTCTGTTTCCTGTAGACTGTCTCCTTGAACAACACACACACACACACACACACACACACACACACACACACACACACACTGACTCTTGTACTTTTGCACACATCCTTTTAAATAGAAAATATGCAGATTGTGTGTACAGTTTGTTGCCTCATACACAGACACTCCCACACTTCTCTCCCCACAAACACCATGTGTGAATTCAGATGTCTATTTTTGTCATTATGGCAAATCCTGATCTATGGGTTTTGTTTCCCCCTCCAGTAATTACACACAACAAACGTCTCTGCTAACATGCAGTCTGCAGCCAGACAGCGCGCACACTCAGCATATAAACAGACACACAGCACACTGGGGGGCAGTCAGCAGCTTGTGCACTTTCTACCATCAGTAAAAGCACACCTGTCCCAGCTGCTGTTTTGAAGAGAAGAGGAGGGAGAGAAGGAATGTGCTTCTCTCAGTTTTCCTGTCAGACCCTGACCCTCTCAACCATCTCTGTCGCTCCCCTCCTTTGACTTGTTTATCTAATTATTCCCATGATCCTATTGTTCCTCTTCTCCTCACACACACACTAACACACACACACACACACACACACACACACACACACACACACATGCACACGCTGTCATCCTATTTCTTCGTTTCTCCTTCTGGCTTTGTTTGCTGTTTCCTAATCTTATCTTTTTCTCATATCTCTTTCTCAGTTTTCAGTTTCACCCGTCTTCTTTCAATACTCTGAAACAGAATTGTTCCAATACCAGTTTTTCCATCCCCATGGGGACTCCTATTCCTGACTTGACCGTTTGATACTGAGCATCTCTCATAAACCAGCAGGGTCAGAGAATCAGATGTTAATGGTGGAAAAAACAGATTGCAGAGATTTTGCTAGCTTTGACTGACAATATAGCGTGTGCTACCAGTTTATCATCAGGTGATATTGTACCTGAAACCTGTTGATTTTTAGAGAGCTAACACATTATCGTATCATATTGGGACATTAGCACTGACAGATACCCAATCGTGTATTTTTAGGCAGTATCAGAGACTAAATTGCCCTTCTGGATAAAGAAAGTTGTCTGATTCTGAATTTACAACAATTATAGCATCATCGGATACAGATAATGGTTTTAGTAACGATATCGGTATCTCTATTGAAACAACTGTACTGTATCAAATACCTGGTTGCCCTTGCTCTTATGTCTCTGAAATCCTCACACATGGTTCATTGCCATGTTTAGTACACTCTGATCTTCTGCAGTGATAATCAGGTCTGCCTCGCAAAACTGTCATCTTAGATTTATATATATTTTATAAGCAAAACCTTAGCAAAAAAACACACTTGTATCTCTTTTAATTTGCAGCAAATCTCAGACTTGAGCGCTACACATCAAGTCTGCAATTAACATTTACACAGAAGCCATCTGCCATAGCCTTTTATCACTGTGCATGTATATGCATGCACTCCCCTGTTTGTAAATCCAGTTGCTGCTGTAGGTATTTACGGGGGAACCATGTGTAGGGAGCAGCAAGTGCATTTTCTATTCCCAGCTTTACTAGCTTTGTTTTGCTTTTATTATCAGCACTTTTCCTCCTCAGAGGCTGCAGGTGGCACAGCTGAGGGGCTCACACAAGAACATGCATACATCGTAGGAAACAAAACCACCTTCCTTTTTTTCATACACACAATACAACGCACAAATGTGTCTCCTGGCGTTTTCACTGGAACCAGTTGGTGTTGCAAGACCTTTGCTGTGTACCTCCACCACAGAAATAGATATACAAGCAGCCCTCCGGTGTGTCCTAAGGGTTATGGTGTTGTTCATGTCCTGTCTTTAGCTTGTTTTACTCCCTCCTCCTTCCTCCTATCCCTCGTCCCTCTGCTTCTGCTGCCTGCCAGATTGAAAAACAGTGAGTGAACTGATATGTGGACAGCTAGTCATTAAGCTGTCAGAGGACAACCTAAGGACCAAAAATACTGTCAGCATGGATGACATTTCACCTATACGTACACCATTTGTCAGGTGTGCTTCTGTTTTACCTGCAAAAGTGGGAAAAAAAAAGATTCAGTAACTCTACATGTCATTACTTGGATGCAGAAGCAGCTTGACATGTGTCAGGCACAAAGTTTAATTTCACTCCTGTCAATAGGTCACATTTTACATAAGACATTATACTCACAAAAACTCTTTGTATTCTTATTAACATTAAACAAACCATTTCTTGTAAATCCAATGAAACAATAGAGCAGGTTTAAACTGTGAAGAAAACAACTCCCCATAAAGCTAAGCAGGTGGTAGAGTATTCATAAGGTCTTTATGCAGAGTTAATGTTTTTCCTGTCTCAAAATGATACACACTCACCCATAAATACTCAGCAGAGCCTGAGGAGCCTTGGTCCTGTCTTAGCATGCTTTCACACTTTGGCATCCATCCAGAACACACAGATGTGGCAGACTTTTGCATGTGTGTAGGCGTTTAAGTGTGGATTTGGATGTGTTTTTGACTGGCAACCATGTAAAGTGGATTTCATTACATGGGTGTGTGCGTGGATATGCGGTGCAGTCAGTGACACACAAGAATGTTTTTCTTTTTTTTTTTTTTGCCTTTGGAGGTTCAAAAATCTCTGTGTAGCGAAGATCCATTTAGTTTGACAGTTTTACAGAGATTTTTCCCCCCTTTAAGAATAGACCATAGTTGGAACTTGCAGAACTGAAATGTTTTAGAGAGAGAGTGTGTGTCTATGTGCAGGACATACAGTGTGCTGTGATGTGCAGATGTGCTGAGGAAAGACAGGAAACACAGCTGTTCAGGGGACAGGGGAGTATTTTCTTGCATTAGCAAACATTCCTGCAACTTCCTGCACTGTATGCACATTTGAAAGTTTGTTATATCTCATTGCATGTCTAACTTTTTTTCTGCATGTAACTCAGCATTTTTTACTCCAACACATGAAATTATGCTTTATTGTTTAATGTAATGTAGTAATGATATCCCAGGTAATGAGCCAGGACAGACAATCCCAGCCAATTACAGTGGGATTTGAACCTTGAAAAATTAATATTAAAATCAATCAAGATATTTTACTTAATATAACCAAGACAACCAAGTTGAAAATTACTTTTCATTTCACGTCCATTTTAAAGTCCTATATTAGAGCAAAGCTTCTTATTCATCTCATCTTTTCAAACATAAGGCAAATGATGAACTATTCTATCAAATTACCTGATGAGAACATGTTGTTGGAAATGATTCAAGGGTAAAAAAAAGTTTCACAACAAATTTGATTTTGACATTCAGGTTAATTTCACACCACAACAAGCTCGCGTGCAAACACACAGACAAGCCGGGCTTAACTAGAATGGGGAGGAGCTCTGTCGGGTAAACATGAGTAAACTCAACTGAGCTGTAACTAAGCAATGATGCAACCTCACTAGGACCAGACCCATCCTTAAGTTTTTTTTATGTTGACTTTGTGTGGGAAGTGTTCTTTTGTGCACATTGCCCCCTGCTTTTTGTACTAGTGGTTAATAAGTATTTGTGTAAATTCAACGTATAATTGTACTTCATAGGAAACTTACAGATGTTTTCAAGTCAAGTTTAAATTACTAAATTTTTCTATAATTATGCCAAAAGTGCATTTACTGTTATACTCATTGTGCATGGATAGAAGCGTGAGTAAATATAGGAAGGGACACGAAAAGGAGAGAAATATATTTGAAGTAGAGAACAGTGCAGCCATTGACTCAGAGGGACCAAACAGAGGCTGAAAGGACTTACCGTGTTATATCTGACCCGTCATCACAGATTTGTGACCAGACAAGTCAGTGTTGACACATTGTGCACCTGTTGCTGACTAACCTTTTTTTTTTTTTTTAAACAGAAGACGGAGGTATAATCACCAAAGGGCAAACAATGTCGCCCCCTAGTGGCGATTTTCATCATTGCAAAAGTCCTAGCAGCAGACAAACAAGCTCTGTTCCCTTCCATGGACGAAAACAATCACAAACACATGACAGTTCAGGTGTTGCACAACTCTGGGGAACATTCCTGTTTGTCACAAAGTCCGTCTGGGTGACAACCTGTTAAAAAACAATGTTTGAATATCTGGTCCAACTGGCTCACCTACTGAACACCCACACCATGCACACTGATGTTGTTCAGTATCAGGTGTCAGATGAGGTGTGTCCTGGCACAGAACTAAATAAGTTGATTATGGATAAGCCCTGTGGCACAAAAGATCCTATTTGTATGTTCATGTAGCTTTGGCACACTCGGGTGATTAAAGGCACGCTTGCCCTTACATGCAGGCGGGCACCATACACTCATAGAGACATCAGTTTTTCCTTGACATCCTTAAACAAGGAGAGTCTGTTTTTGTCATCACACAAAGAGTTTTGTACCTGCTGTTTACAGTAAATAAATGTGGCAAATTTACAGCACGCGTCAATTATACCCATAGTTGATCTTTCTGCCTGTAGGGCATGAAAACAGTGTTGTTATTACTGACAAAAAGTAACTCCATAGTACAGTTAGCAGTTGTTTATTTATTGTTTTTCATCATGACATCAAAAGAAACATTCTGCCAGCATGGCTAAACCTAAATGAAAAGATTCTGAGTACGGGGATGCTACAGTCTAAACTCATTCATGTGCTGTGCTCTAACACAAGCAGAGGTTAGATGTGCCATTCAAAACAGGTCACTCACACAAAAAAGCAATAGAAAGCATAAAAGTCCCAGCCAGAGCTCACATTCACAAACAAACGCACCATACTGTAGATTCATAGTATATTTCAAAATGCATACAGAGCCAGTCCATTTGATAAGATGTTGACATTCTCTTGCATTGAAATGATTCAGGACTGCGCTGTTACATTCCCCTAAATGACTTTAAATCAGCTTATGAGTAAATGAGCATCTGTGAGTTCAGTAGTAAAACCAAAAGCTATAAAAAAAACAAATTAAAAGTCAACCAAAGCTCATAAATAGAGATAGACCTTTTTTTGCTGTAACTTGCTTCAGTTAGTACTTTCTTATACGTCACATCTTATTCTGTTTACAACACAGTTCATTACCAGACAGGTAGGCCATCAACCCTCAGCAAAATGTAAAACATTGTAATGTATTCACATGTTTTTTGAGTCAAACATCAATATCAGAAATCAATCCTCAAAACCTTTTTTTTTTTTTCACTTTGACAAGAAAGAAAGATTCAACTGTGATGTTTGCCACGAATCCTTTTTCTTGAAATGCAAAACAGCAATTCTGTTAATTACCAACTGAAGTGTTCAGACATAGAGACACGTGATCCTGACATGACAGTACTTTACGATTCAACAGCTCATGTATGTATATTCACATTCTTTAACTCAAACTATTGTAAACTCTTTTTAGGCTCTATAAAAAAAGTGAAGATATAAAATTGGATATACAGTACATTTGAGGCGCTTTTACAGAGCTACAGACGTTTATCTGCATAAAGAGTATGTCACTTATGAATCCTAGTTTCATTGCATGCAACGCTTATTGTTCTGTCATTGTAGGACAAATGAAGAGTAAATGGAGGGCAGATTTTTTAAAATATTGCTAATTAATGTTTTACTCTGTTATAGAGGTGCTCGACTCCACCCCTCAACAGAATTCTGCATAGTCTAAAGTCCCTTCAGCCACTATGTCCGTTGGAGCATTTCAAAGTCCAGGAAAAAGAAAGTAGGAGTACATGTTGAACATAAAAAAAAAAAGCCAAAGAGAGTGATTTGAGATAATCAGGCTAAGTGCAAAAGGTTTTAAGAATCACAATCAAAGGATAAACCTTAACAATATTTAGCTTTGATAGATTTATCAAGTAGAAGTTTGACAGTGTCAAGGCAATTATTATCAACTCAGGTGAACTCAGTGAATTTAAACCACCTTTGACTCAGACATGAAAACATGAACCTTTTCCTTTAAACTGCCGTCTCACCGCAGTTTATTTGCTGCGATTCGTTGCACGTGTTTGGATAGTAACCCTCCGAGGCGGCAGCTCCTCGTTGGTCTGATTGGCCACAAGGTCCTGAAGCTGCAGGGCCCCCCCGCCAATGAAGCAGAAGGCCGGACACACGGGAGCCGAACAATCCAAATGTCCCTCCCACAGGATCCTCAACGAGTGGGCATCATAGAAGGTGACACGTCCTTTGTCACAGTCCAGACAGACTCCAAGTCGAGGTGGAAGAGGAGCGGTATAATGGTGAGGGAGGTTACTGTGGCTGCTACCGTGGGAGTGCAGTCCTCCCTCCGACTGGCTCTGGCTGTGACTTAGTCCCTGAGGAAGCAGGATCTTGCCCATGCCTATTGTGAGAAAGCAAAAGGGAGGAGAGTCCTGGCCATCCTCTGCCCCACTATCATGGCCGCTGTCCGGGTCACAGCTGAGGGGAGGTGTTAAAAAAAAATAGAGATAAGGAAAACCTGTTAAAACATTCTATAAGCAATTCTTTATTTCCATCTTGATGACAGTAACCTTTGTAATGTATACCCTGTGACATTTTTTTAAAGCAAAACAATCCATGTAAATTAAAAAAAAAGTAGTAATATGTGGAAATGGAGAAACATCTGAGTCCTTCCCTTTAGAAACTTCCCCAAACCTCTGTTGAACTGTTCTCACTACATAGCATTAGGGTCTATGTTTGAAAAATGTAAGACTTAGTTACCGAGGGCTTGTCATGTCCTGGGGGAGATGAAACCACTCTTGTAGCTTAACCTCCTGCCCTACTCCCACCTGAGATTTAGAGAGAGAGAGACAGAAAGCTTTGATCATGCTCATCCATTCTCTTCTTCACCATATTACAAGCGAATTGAATCTGTACAACACAAAATAATTTAAAAAAAACAAAAACAAAGGACAAGCATTCCATTCACCTTGACCAGGTAGGACCCAGGCTCCACAGAACAAGCCCAGTAGTGTCTCCCTTGAGTGACAGCCACGTCAGCGACCAGAAGGTCTGAGGTCAAGTGGCAGGAAGTTAGTGTGCGGTCGGCTGCCTGAAGGAGGGAGAGGCCTGGCACACTGCGGGCGTAGGTTTGGCCTCTTCCCAGTGCCAACCTGTCAGCATGCAGCCCCCAGCGTGAATCCAAAGAGAAACTCAACACTGAGAGGACGGGGAAAAGGGGAGTAAAACATAAAATGTAATGAGGACAGAGTAGGGGGGGGGTCTTAATTCTGGTACAATTGATCTAATGCAAGTAGAGCTGAAGAAGAGTGAGAGGAGGTCACATATAAAGAGGCAGATCATAGAAGTAAATCTGAGAGAAAAAGCAGGAGAAGGTTGTTTTATCAGGAAGAGGAAATAAGAGAAACAGACTTAACAATCGCTTTATGAACGTTATGTTTTAACCAATCAGATAATTCCTTTCGAGAAGCATTTGGTGAAATAAGGATTGTTAAGAAGAGCAGCAAAAGAAACGACGGACAAACATGCAAAGGAAAAACTATTTCATTTTGGAATGGATGACAAACCTGAATCAAGAAGTATGGATGTTGAAAATGTCTGACAGGGATGAAACTGGAATGCAGAACAAAAAAGGAAAGGTTTGGTGCAACTAGAAATTAAAATGAAGTAGGAATGAAGGGATTGGGAGAACAAACAGATTAGTTAGTCAATCAACCCGAAAAATGGCAAGAATGTGAAAAAGAATCCAACAAAAAATGTTGTCACTGGAAAGAAGATATTTTTGAAATGAAGGAAATAAATATATATATAAAAAAACAACGATATAGTATGTTCTATAATAAATATTTGTATCTTACCAGGTGCTGGTGGAGTCTGGAGGTAAACATCCTCACTGTACTCTCCAAACCCGGCCTTGTTGCAGCCTCTCACCCTGAGCACATACACGCTGTCCATCTGCAGCCGGTCAACCACAGCACTCGTCCCTCTCACCTCATCCAGACGTAGCCACGATGTTGCGGCATTAGGGGATCTGATGCCGCCCCAGGTCGGTGCGGCTCCTCCCGCTCGCCGCTGGTACTCAACGGAGAAGTGCCAAGCTGGGGCCGAGTCCTGGGGGAGGCGCCAGCACAGAAAAAGCTGATCATAGGCAAGCGTCTTCTGTGTGTCGATGACTGGGGCCATCGGGGCTATGAAAGAGACAGAAACAGGCAGGTAATGTTAATCAAGCAATATCACACAAGAGGGAGTCCTGCTATATGTTTTGAATATTGTCATGGCTTGGATGCGGTCTCAAGCACAAGGCTACATGCCGATAAAAGAAGATTATTACTCTCATGTTGATATCCAGTACAGCAGCACAACCTTGAGTGGGATATTGCTTTACTACAACACCAGGACCAAAGTATGGAAGTTGGTCTGGTTACTGGAGAGGTGCCAGATCTATTTTTCAGTGTCCTTGAGAAAGGTAACAAACCCCAACAGCTCTGGTGTGCTGACTTTGTAGTAGCCCTACTCTGATATCTCTCCATTAACACATGGCCATATGTCTCTTTTGTGCATGTGTGTATTTCAGGTACATGTGTGTGAGTCACACAAGATCAAACCAAAGAAGATAATCCATCAGCATGTCTCACAATAAGAGAGTGTAAACCAGGATTTCCCCTCTTCCCCCTGTTTCTGACTGTTACTAAGCAATTCATAAACATTTGTCGGCCTTTATGCTACTTTGTGTTTGTCTGCAGGTTACAATTTGAAGTTAATTCTATTTAATGAAAAATGTCAATTTTAGCCATGCAAAGTTTTTAAAGATCCGGACATTCCCTGTTTGCTGTAAGATTAATTGTTTGATATAGGTTGCTTTGTGAACAAATGCTATTTAAAACACCTGAAGAAGAGTCATTCCTAAAGTTTAAAGCCCCTGAGCTGTTGTGCGCTTTATCTCAGGACTCATAGAAAGCCTCTTGTCCAATTTAAAGTAAATGTTCAGAACTAACTGTAATACAATAAACATCACTTAATCATTATTTCACTTTTAATTTATTCAATTTGTGGAAACAAATAATCATACCACGTATGAACTCCAAGCCTTGGATGAGCTTCACCTCCTTGGATGCATCGAGGTGAAAATGTCTGAAGCAGGGATCAGCAGAGGGAGACAAACACTGGAGGTGTTCTATGGCCTTCACAAGCCTCACGGGAGAAAACACAAAGAGAAGATGAATACAAAAGGAAGCTTAAAGTGGTGGAAAAAAATTAAGTAATAGAAGAACAGAAATGAAGCAGGGACCGAGCAAATTATTACAACTACAAAGAAGATTCAGATGCAGAAGTGTGTGTGTTACCTGTTGTGAGTGACTCTAGCAGCCAGTACAAAACAGGGTGCATCAGTCTCCTTCAGCAGTTCCTGTGTGTAAGCCATCAGGCCCGCATGCTCCAGCAGGCCTCGCCTCTCTGAGACCTGCGCAGACAGGGCGTCCTCCCTCCTGCTGCGGGATCCCTCCAGGGCCAGAGCCAGGGTCCCCTGACGCTCGGCTACTGCTGCTCCCAGCTCTCTGATACAGTGGGTGAGCTGATGCAGAGCCACTGTGCTGTTTGCCTGGAGAGAGACAAAGATGAGGCGGAATTGGAGAAAGAATGTGAAAACTGTTGTTGCTGGTTGAAAATGTAATAATAGATAAGGAATCAAAACACAGTGCCATTGCAGTTGAGTCATAGGCCTCTAGAGGTCCCACTCATATTAAGAGACACCTCAGTTGCAGCAGTGGTTAAACTGAAATGGCTGGTGAAGGATTTCCATTGTATAAAGGATGATAAAAAAGAGTTTATATTATGTTGTTGTTATTATGTTAAAAGTTGAGCCTGAACAACATATGTTATACAAAGCAGACAAGGTGCAAAACAGAAGTGAAGATGCTTCACCTCCATCTGTTTGATTGCAGCTTCCAGTTGAGTGATCTGACTCTGTATAGTCTCCTGGTTGGCCAGTATGAAGTTCATTTCCTTGGTGACTTTTTCCTGGAAGAACACATCAAAAGGTGACACCTCAAAGCTGCAATCATCAGATTAAAACAGTCCAAAACAACTAAACACAAACTCACCTTGAGGGCCTGGTAAGCCTGTGCTATGGGCAACACTTTGTGTCCATGGTGGACACGACGAAGCTTACAAAGCGGGCACAGCAACCTCTGGCAGTTACGGCAATACCACTGCATCTTCTCCTGCTCATGCTCTGCGCACGTTAAGACCTAGAGCACAAAAAGAGGATAAAGGTGCAACGAAAGGAATAGAGGAAGCTGATGTATTTGATTCACAGAACACATGAGGAGACAAACCTTTGGACGAAAGTTGTTGGTGGGTAGAATGTGTTCGTGCTGAGCTCGAGGGGTTCCCCACGGGTGGTAGAGTTTGAAACATTCGTTGCAGAAGTTGGACTTGCAGTCGGCGCAGCCCTTGGAGGCCTCCAGAGAATGAGGAGGCTTACAGAAACCACACATGATGGCCACACTGCCCAGACTGATAGTCTGCCTGTACCTAAAGGGCACACAAAGGGTTTGAGGAGAAAGGGAAAGGGTTACAGCAAACTCTGTAGCATGACGAAAAAGAGTGCTTTAAACTTATGGAAGGGGAGATCGAGCTCATCCCAGCTTGCCCTGCTTTCTTTTTTGTAATTTTTAACAGCATGACCTGGATACATCACCAGCAGCTGCCTTGTTAGTGCATCCTGCGCAGTAAAACATGCACCGTCACACTTTCCTGACCAACACAACCACAGCCTGGGGAGGGAGCAGCTGCACTCATCAAACTGCTGCGTGTGAAACTGGGAAACTGCTTCTCCCCATAACTCTCTCTCTCCCCATCTCAGTGCACTTCTTTCTTCTTTTTTTTTTAAATAGCTCCTCTAGCTTTGATCTTCACTATTTGAACTGATAAGAGAAGGAGATGATTAACATTAAAGGGATGACAAGTCTTTCGCTCCGAAGTTCCTCAACAAAAGTTTGGTGAATCTGATCCAGTTTTCCTTGGAAGAGTACACTGCAGATTTGAAGCTATCCCTAAAATCAGGTTGAGCCCTGGATCAGGAGAAAAGGAAACATTCATTACTGAATTACTTCATTGAGCAAAAGATTTCCTGTCTCATATATAAAAAAGTATTGACTTGGCTTATGTTCTGCCTCTCCTCAATGCCTGCATGACTGGTCAAGAGATTTTTATTAAAACCTTGATTACTATCTTTATTTTACTCCTAATCAGCTTTTCTTGTTTATGATTCACATTTGAGACAGCAGTTTTAGCATTGACGACACCTGATGTTGCCAGTGGTTCTTTGTGTTAGAGTGTATTCATGGTGTTTGCGTGCACAACATACCGCTCCACGATGCGCTCCAGAGTGAGGTTGCGGAGGCAGTCTGTCAGGCCTTTTTCTCCAAGCTCCACGTCCTCTTGACAGGATGGACATGGGAACAGCATGGGGGGAGGGGCGGCGTCCTTCCGCCTCCGCCCTGGGTATGTGCCGCACACTAGGAGAAGGACACAGGTGTAGAGGAATGGAGGTGAAGAAAGAAGGGGACATAGAGGAGAAAAGGGTGAGGATAGACACAGTATAGAGAAATGGAGAAAACGTTAATAGGAGAATTCTTTTTGTCCCTAAATGTTATATATATAGCACATGGTGAAAAAAGAGGGGTTATTTCACTGCGCAAAACACTATTTGCTTACCCACACTTTAAAATGCACCTGCATGACAACTACTTACATACTCAACTCTGCTTATGTGGCTTTGCTCTACATGCACATGAATAAGACATGATATGACTGCATACATCATCTCTGGATGTATGGGGGGATATAATATTAAAATACTGTAAATCTCAGACTCAAAGAGGACAGTGATATCATATCATGGTATCATCATTACATTTGAATAATGATGTCACTCTTAAATGACTCAGAACTAAAATCATTCAGCTATCTATGACACAAAGAGCCAAAACCGTATGCTCATTCCTGTTACAGAATCATCACATTATCCCCCTACCTGTTCTGAGGACACGTTCCAGGCGGTCAGGGGTCCTAGGTGCAGATCTGCAGGCCTGTCGTGGAGAGCGGGTGTTCGGAGTGGAGGCCGGTGAGTTTGGCTCCGGAGGGAGATCCGGAGGAGGGTAACCTTTATGTACCAACACCTCAGCTGCACATAGCAGACACACGCTGTGCTGGCAGGGCAGGAGGATGGGCTGCTTCACCATTTCATCACATACCCGACAATGCAGCTCCTTTTCCATACTCTTCATGTTGGACTGCAGTGGTTCAAAAAGGGAACTTAGTGAAGAGAACTGTGTAAAGGCTGAGTCACAAGAGTAAACAAAGAAACACTGTTCTTTTCATTTTGAGCCTTCTATGACCTAAAAAAAAAAAACTGTATGAGGTGTGTAGGTGTCAGGAGTGAGAAGGGGAACTGCAGCTGACACTGGTTACGTGGACTGATGTTGTATTGAGAGCACAGGGAGGGCCAATGCGGAAGAAAACATACATCCCTTACTTCAGGTGTTAGCTAGATTCTTAACAGCTTAAAAAAAAAATAAAGATGCAGAATTAGCTTAGCACACTCTGGAGGACGATATCATGGTTTGCTAAACGAGATATGAAACCATTTTACAGTGTGTGGTGAAGCATTTTCAAATCAAGTAAAATATGATAAATACAGCTCTCAATTTGATACAGTCATTTATTGACTGATGTGGTTTTACTGGTTATGTAGGCCCTTTCCCAGTGTAGCATCTACTAAACGCAGCATCCCGTTTCTATGACAACGCGCATCATCCCTTCTCTCGCCGTGTCCGGGCACATAAACCATTTCGAAGCTACCACGGGCTTCTGGAGCTAAATGCTAACAAACATAATTCAAAAATGTTAACCATCTGAAATCCAAAGCTCTATCTGTTTGGCCTATATGTGTTATTTGTGGCCTTGCTTTCATATTCCACCCCACGGTGCTCGACCCATTGCCAAAATATATATTTGATTGAATAGATGCCAAAAAAAAAAAAATGTTGGACAGAATAAACAGCCTCACATTCCTTCATTACATGCGCAACCTGTGATTTAAATGGGCTGGGAAAGAATATGGAAAATGTCACACTGAGAAGGAAGGAGAGAGAAATAAATTCGGCTCACATGGTTGAAATGATAAAATGATAAAATGATAAAATGAACGTCGTACTTACACTAATGCGAACCAACGCGTCCATGATAGAGGTAAATGTTTGTAACTCCTCTTCTGCCATCTCTCCACGGTGTCAGCCTCTTTGTGGAAGAACGAGTGAAGCCCTGATGCTGGAGAACCGGGGGACAGGTTCTGTAAATCTTACCGAGGGAAATAAGGGAATATGCACAGACAACCAACAGATTATCTGTCGGTTGTTTTCCTCCCTTGGTGTGTGCTGGTGCCAGTGCTGGATACTGGTGCGCACACACTGATTTTTTGTGCTGTCTTTCTCGAAGCACCGATTCGAGCTATCGTAGAAATAATGGGGAGGAGTGGGGGGGGGGGATTAGGGGTCTGGCTAGACCAGGGGTGGGCAACTGGCGGCCCGGGGTCCACATGCGGCCCTCATCAACCCTCAAAGTGGCCCTCGGGTCAATTGTTTACATATCGATTAATTGTAAAACGTGACAAAATCTGCCGTGAAAACATGAAAACCAGAAATATGTCCTTAATAATATTTGATCACTGGTATATTTTGAGACATAATCGACTTTATTCGTTTTTGTACCCTACAGTTTGGCCCTCTGGCAGTGAGAATTAAACGAATGTGGCCCCTCGCTGTGGCCAAAGTTGCCCATCCCTGGGTGAGACTATCACCTCCAGATTGGCCGATGACTGAGAAGATGGTAGATTGCTGACCTGTGAGAACATTATTTGTATAGTATGCTTATTTGTCAAACTCTGCAGCCCCACTAACTACGATTCAACTATAATACCTGTCCAATCCATGCAGTTTTGCGAAACTACCCTTATTTATTTTTAAATCCTACAGCCAAAATGTATAGAGCTTTTAACAGGGAGCATCGCTGGGTGTTATTGAATTTCCTCTGCCATGTTTCTATGCTTGTTACTCTCCATGACAAATTGCTTGTCGCCTAGTTTCTCCAATAGACTGTAGGTTTCTCCTCTGGTCGTTAGATGGCACCAGTGTGTTACAAACACACGTATGGTCCTCTGTCAATTGTTGTCCGTGTCCGGAACCTTTGAATGTTGTTGTTGTTGAGTCCGGTCTTTAAATCAGAATGCACGCAGTATAGTTGGTGTTGTCGGTTGTTGTAGCAACCGTGTACTGAGCGCTACAACGTTGTGTCTGCTTCTGGCTTTGTTGGAGGATTATGTTAATATTAGTTGAAGTAGGAATATTACTGCTAAAATAATGGTATTCTTCTTGTAGCACTAAGTCTTTGTCTGAGACGTAAATATTTGTTTGTCATGTCGGCTGTTAGCAGTCTTGTCCCTGCGCGGTTTTTGACAATCACAGCTCACCTTGTCATCGTTATCACCATCTTTTGGTCGAGGGTAAGCAGAGATGTTTTTCCACCCACGCTAGTTATTTATTGTCATGTTACGCGTTTAGAAATTAACAATAGTTTCCTACATTGTGTGTTGGAAGTATGTTTTGTGTCTCAGTCTGAAATGTTTGTGTCGCAGGAAAACAACGTGACGGCCTGCTTGCCTTTGGATTTCACACCAGAACAATATGAGAACGAAGACAGAAAGTAAGAAAACACTAGACCATCAAACACACACACACACACACACACACACAGTATGAATTCATTTGACACATTAACACTTTATGTAACTTTATATAAGGCCTTATGTCTCTCTCTGTCATAGGTTGGTGGTGGGGTTGGCAGTCACTCTCGGCCTCTTTGCTATCGAGTTAGTTGGGTTCTTCTCAGGAGTGTCCATGTTCAACTGCAGCCAAGGTCTCCTGTGTATCCTTCAAAAAGGTCTCTGTGGCTTCATGATCCATGATACTTGAAAGCTGAGATGTTGAAGTGGGGCTCTGGTACAGAAGGGGAGATTATTTTTTGCTTACAGCTACTGATAATCTCAAACCAGGGAATTAGTTTCATATCGAGTAACCTTTGAGAAGCCCTCTGAGTTAATCAAAGTATAAAAAATGGTTTGAAAAAAGTGGAGGAAAACTTAAGACCAAAAAACATTGATATAACTGATCCAGGTCCAGGTGTTTAAATCATAGGGCTATGAATAAAGTATTACCTTCCATAAGCACCGGGGGTTTGAGGGATTCCAGAAGCGCTCATTTTGTCTCTCTTTCATATTAAAAAAAAAAAAAGAAGCTATTTCATAAACAAGCACGTTTATTCTTCAGTTAATATTCCATAACTCCAAACTCCTTTAATATAGCAGCAGGAGTCCATGCCAGTGCCACAGTGGCTCTGCTTTTCTTTCTTTTTGAGCAGTGGGATTGTGACATCTACTGGTGGATCCTTGTCATCTGCAGGTTAGTTTAAATGCTTTAAGTGTTTAAGTGCTTTTTCCCTGACCGATATCACCCCCAGCATTGGCTGTCCACTGCAGTGCATCCGTATCCTTGTCTTTCTTTGTGTTTGAGAAGTGGGAATGCTGGACATATTGGGTGATTTTTGCCATATGCAGGTTAGTATTTGTAGGGGTGTTGATATACATGCATATATTAGCTTTCAGATATGACAGTTTTAGGCTCTCAAAAAACAATTAGGTCAAATATAGTATATATAAGGGATGCTGCTATGTCATCAATTGTTGCATTTCTATCTCTGTGCATCTCTTCCTCTAGTGTTCTACCTGCTTTTGTGGAGGTCGTCCTGTTTATAGCTGTTTTTGGACTGAAGAAGAAACCTTTATGAAAGAAAGGCTTGGCGGGAAATGCATCAGGTACAGATGCCCACAGCTGTTTCAAGAATGATGAAGCTACTGAATGTCTGTGAGTCAGTGATGATCCCAGAGGAGTGAGCTGAAAAAAAAAAAACGGACTTATGTTCCTACATTGGAACAAAAAAACACCAAGGGAACATACAAGAAACTGTCTGAAATTATTTTTGATAAAGTTTTAATATTTTGATTCAATAGATGCAGAGAAGCATGTGACCTTTTCGTCGAACATGTCAAGAGTGGTTATTTTAGGAAGGAAATGACTCTCTAATCCATTGTTCAGGGAATGAGGGCAGACTTTTCAGTGAACACTTCAGTTTTTTTTTTTGTTTTTTTTACAGTCTTTCTGTTATTTTTATATTGAAAGTTTTGGAAACTTATGTGATTCCAAATAAATGTTGTACCATTTTGTCCTAAACTGTTAATGTCTATTCTTTTTGCCCTGAACGATTGCAACTCCTGGCTGTTCTGCCTCCCAAGTGCATCTTTTTGACAGCACACAGTTTACAAATAGCGCCGTCTTCACCCAAAAGAGGTTCAAATAAACAGTTTATACAACAGTTTATATTTTACGGGACATTTGAGAATTATTGAAAAGTATTTTAAATAGACACAAAACTCTATGGGAACAAATTAAATGATGTTAAGGGAATGTTCTCATATTTTGTACAGGTTTTCCTATTACTTCAGGAGTTTGGTTAATTTTAATGCTCAAAAATGTCAAGAGCCAAAAAGGGTTTTCTTATAGAATTGTCCTTACGTAGCTGAAATTAAAAATGATGTATGACTGTGAAGTGTATAACGGGGCATAAATATTTCATTGAACAAGTAATAACATTTAGTTTGGTTATATTTTCCTGAAGAAGATTTGCTGGAGATCATTTTTAGAACAGTAAAAAAAATAATTTATCAGTGTATGTTGTTCAATCCATTTGTCATTTTGTGCTCGGGCTTAGAAAGTCTGCACCTGGGTTTGAACTGTTAATTGAGAAAGTACTTTTTGTAAGTTGCCATATAGTAGAAAAATGCCTTCATGAAAATCTTTTAGTAATATTACATTTTTAATTGTTTTAGGTAAGGAACATTACTTTAAGAAGAAAATAAATCTTACAATATTTTTCATGAACTTGTAGGCATATAATAACGATACAAGTATACATATACGTACTTGCAGCTTCTACTGCAAGAATAAAAAGAGCTGAAATACGAATACAGTACAGCTTTGTTGAAGCCCCTCCCCTCCATGACTCATGACTCCTCCCACTGGTCCCACTTCTCATTATGTCCGGGTGCTGAGGTTTTTTAGTTCCTAGAGGCTGGACTTTTAGCTAGCTCAAGATACATACATATAGTTTATCTCTTGGTCGTTGCAGGGGCTTTAATTCACAACTGAATCATGGGTATGTAATGCATTTTGAATGTTTTATCCAAGTTCTCTCACCAAGCAAGACTGTAGTCGCATAAAGATGAGAAGAGTTCATTTATATGTCCAGGCTAGCTAGATAAAGCTAACGTTAAGGAATATACTCGGCTACTTTAGGTGACGTAAAGCATTAAAGTGTTTGTCTTTGTTGTATTTGTTACTACAATACAATACGCATGCACATGTATTTATTATTAATATTATGCATGTAGAGGGTTTCATTGTGGCCAATAATTTCCTTAGCTAGAAGCTAACAGCAACTTGTCGGAAGTGTTTATGAATGAACACTGACGTGGCGTTGCGATATAGAGAGCTGAATGATTTAAATAGACTCTGTACACTTTAATACAAGGAAATGGACTATATTGTAAAATAGATGAGTGACTTATGCAGTACAAAGTCTATTAAAATCTTCAAACATACCTTGTTTGTCAGAAGTCGACCCTTGTAGTTATAAATGAGCTAAACAATACATGTTTTACTACCACATCCTGTGTTGCACTAATAATTGTATTGTAGTTAAATGTCTGCGTCTTTGTTAATGCAGAGCATAAGTAAAAAATAAAAAATAAAAAACAAGTTTAATTCATATAAAAAATGGCCCCAAAAGCTGTATTACAGCGCTATACCACTAGCCTCGTTTTCTTCAATTGAAGACTTGTCTGACCTTTGTTGATGACTTTCATTCCATCTGTGTTTTAAAGGCTTTATTCTTTATATTTGTCTTATTTGACCCTTTAGCAGTGAACACAGGAACCTCTCTAGTGCTGTCCAGTCTGCTGTCAGTGCTGGTGTTTGCTGGGATGCAGATGTTCAGTAAACAGCTGGGATCTACTGAGTGGCTCACCATCCTTGGAGGTTTCCTGGGCTCAGTCCTCTTTATCTGCTCCCTCACCGTATCCTAATTTCATTTCCTATTAGCATGAATTGAGCCGCTTAGATCGTTTTAGCAAATCTATAAACTAAGAGGTTCTGCAGCATTGCATTGTTTTAATAAGCCTTTTGTTTTCAGTTATCCAATGCTGCTGTTGTCTTTTGTCTACAAATTCTCCAGAAAAGAATGTTACACCCAAATTTCTGCCTTAAATAATGTATCCGGTTACCTTCTCATTTGCATTTATACATTTCTCTGAGGTTTGTTTTACCTTAACTTAATTTCCAGGCATTTAATAATCTGGAAAACTTGATTTTTGGGAAGGGATTTCAAGCCAAGATATTCCCAGAGAGTAAGTTCCTTTCTTTTTTTTCTGATGTGTAGTATTTCTGTAGAGATGCTGCTGCTCAACTTTCCCTGAAACATAAGCAGTCTTGATTATTAGAGTTTTTATTATTTATTTTATTATTCTGCTTCTGATGCTAACTTTAATTATTCCATCTCTTATTTTCAGTCCTTGTGTGCCTGTGCCTCTCACTGTTTGCCTCTGGTCTGGTGCATCGTGTTTGTGTCACCACATGGTATGATAAAGTACCTCTGCATATCACAGATACATTCTTCATCTTTATACACTTATGGAAAGCCGCTGAATATATTTTAATCTGCCTTGTCTTTTTTTTCTGTCCCAGCCTGATATTCTCTCTCTTCGCCCTGTACTACATCAACAAAGTATCTGCAGCTCTCTACCAAGCCGCTGTTCCCACAGCGACACCAGCCAAAGCAGCCAGCAAAGGAAAAAGGAAGAACTGATCAAACTGTTCAGCCCATCTGCAACCAGTAAATGAGTCAATATAACACAGGTGCTAATGGCCACTACAACACAGCGCTAGCATATTTTTGTGTAATCTCTTAAATACAAAAACAATCCTGTGTTGTATTTGTCCAGGCTTCTAAAAGTCTGTAACCAGTATGTCATCAAAGTTCTGTTTTATTTTATCTTGTATTTTTTTATTCAAATTTGAACAATGGAGAAATACCGCTGGTATTAGACATTCCAATATTTTGCTTTGCCTTTGCTCTGTTTTTACACTACTGGCTGCAAAGAGATTCAAAGATCCCATCATGTTATTTGTGTATTCATCAGTACACCAAATTTCTTTTTTGTCGTTTAATTCATTTTGTAATTAAACTCTTTAAAAGACTGATAGTGTTTCTGTGTTTCTGTGTGTGTGTGTGTGTGTGTGTGTGTGTGTGTGTGTGTGTGTGTGTGTGTGTGTGTGTGTGTGTGTGTGTGTGTGTGTGTGTGTGTGTGTGTGTGTGTGTGTGTGTGTGTGTGTGTGTGTGTGTGTGTGTGTGTGTGTGTGTGTGTGTGTGCGTGCGCGTTTGAGGATGTCAGTCTATTTATTCAGGTGGGTGTGGTCATATCCTAAAATTGTGAGCTGATGGAAAATCATGAAGGAAAAGGCAGGGTGAACAAATAAACCAGCGCTGGTTTCTCAGATAAAAAATATCTTTTACTTGTCTTTGGGTTGGTAAATAAAAAAAGAAGGCCAGTATGCTACAGACTTTACTGTAAAAAAAAAAATACATTCTCTTTTTGGACATTTTTATTAGCCCTAGTTTAGTTTTTAATTTGGGAATGTTGGCCTTAAAGTGAGAAAAAGGGTTTGTGGTAAAAGACTTCAAACATGAAAGGAGTGGGATGATGATGGGGGGAATCAAAAGGTTTCTCATTACAAACTCTTCAGAACTCTGCTTAGGTATTTAAAGTTAACCTTGAACCAGGTTTGACTGGGCTGCCCACAGGTAGATTAAATAACTTAATAAAAAGTTGAATATGTAAATAATGTCTACACTGTTTTCATTGCAGAGTTAAATCTGAGTTGTAGTCATTGAATATTTCAGTTAAAAGTGTGTCGTTCGGTAAAATGCATCTAGAGGTAATGTGTGGAGAGGATCAGAAAGCACCATTAGAGTCTGAAATACCCCTTTGTTACACATTTTTCCAGGAAGTCTGTTGCCCAGGCTTGCCCATGTGCTCTATTTCCCAACATACTCCATGTGTTACTCTTAATGTGCTGTGATGAGTGATGACTTGCTCTAAGTGTACTATCCTACCACCCTCATAAACTAAGGCTGGACCCGATCATGTCAAAGAGCAGATGACATTTAAAAACTCTTCAAATCATAGTCTCAAGCAAAGCGTCACATTTAAAGATAGCAGCGTCTTCTCTTTATGTGTTGTAGTCACAGTAGGAAAACATGGGCAGGAGGTGGTATGTTTGCACTCTACGTTATTAGCACTCCCTCTCTCTCTCTCTCTCTCTCTCTCTCTCTCTTGTCTCACATCCCTCCCTGTCCCTCCCATCATTACAGGGCGTTGCCGAGCTGACTACACTTTCTGGTATAAACTTTTAGTGAGCCCCTGAACTATTCACTCTTCTTAAACTTCAGTTCCTGCGTTCTGTGTCCTGGTAAGTTCAATTTAAGGATTTTAACACTTAAATCTGTTGCCGTTTTTTTTCCCCGTGTGCGTTTCTGATGTGCGATTTTGAATTATACGGATCATTTTCTAAGAACAGTAGAGACCTCGGTTGTTATTCTTGCTCGAGACCTAAAAACTTCATACAAAGCTTCCCCTTTCTCCTACTTTCGGTTTGGTTTGTTATCATGTTTTTCTTGGGGAAACTGAGGCGTTGCCGGCGCATTACGCACAGCTTCACGCTTGTGACATGTAGCGGCTGGTCCTCTCTTATCTCTCCCTTCCCTTATTTTTCTCTTTTGCGTTTTATTTCTCTGTGCTTCGTGATTGTGAAGATCTTATTCGGAAAAGGTGAACTGAAGGGAAAGGAAAAGGGAGAGTAGGTGCCTTGAGATAAGGATTTGTCTTTTTGTATGCAGAAAATGTTGTGTGATAGCTGAGGAATTTTCTTTGAGTGCCAGAAAAACCAACACCCACTTACTCCTCTGACAGCCTCGAGATGAAGTTGAAATCTTAAGCACCAAAGTATACTTAAAGTCATTCAATAAAGTAGGTCAGTTAAAATCATTCTTTCATATATTTATTATAGTTTATAGCTTTTACACCTCAATACTTTTTGTACACATACTACAAAGAGGATTGTTGAATTAAACAATAGATAAAGTCCTTTCTGTATTCATCATCACGAGTCAGTTTATTTGTTGAGGATACTTTATGTCAATAACCAGAATACACAGAGTAACTATTGCATGAAGGTTATAAATGCAGTGGAGTGAAAATTACAAGACTGACCCATATTGTGTTCACTTAGCCTACTTATTTACTTTTCACCACTGAATAGACTTTCTTGAGCGGGCCCTATTCTTTTCTTTTAATTGAATACTCAAATGTCCCAGTGTCAATTGTCCATTAAAAGTTTGAATCTTACAGAAGTAAAACCTTTAAGAGTCATTAAAAGTATAATCTTACAGTCTTTTCAAGTTTAAAGGGGCCGTTTTTTTTTTTTTTTAATATTTATTTTTGGGCTTTTATTGGAGAGCTAGGACAGTGGAGTTGGAAATCAGGGAGAGAGAGAGAGAGTGGGGAGTGACATGCAGGAAAGGAGCCACAGGCCACCCACTTTGAGGACTATAGCCTCTGTACATTAGGCTTGCCCACTAACCACCATGCAACCAGAGCCCCATAAGGGGCTTTTTTAATCTGAATTTTGTTCTTTATATTATAATGTAGTTTAATATATGATAATATAGACATGCTTTAATCTCTGTAAGAAAACATTCTGCACAGTGACCTACAACAGCTTTCCTTTGTAATTAATTCCTAAACTCTTTTTTGTTCTTTTTTTTACAGCACCTGCTACTGTAGCCATGACTCACTTAGAACACTGCATGGAGACCCTAATTACAACTTTTCACCACTATGCTGTTCAGGATGGTGATGGAAAGACCTTGAGCAAGAAGGAACTCAAAAAAACTCATTGAATCGGAGCTACCCGGCTTCTTAAAAGTAAAAATCTTTGATTGAAGTTCCGTCTCTATCCTCAGTGTAAAGCCGTTTACATATCTAACTTTGACTTTACATCTTTCTCTTTCCTGCCAATTCTCTTTCAGGCCCAGAACAATCCTAAACTTGTGGACTGCATCATGAAGGATTTGGACCTCAACAAAGACGATAAGTTGGATTTTGAAGAGTTTCTTCCGCTGATCGCCGGCCTCTCCCTGGCTTGTGAGAAGATGTACAATCTCCATCAAAAGAAGGGCAAGAAGTGATGAGCAAATACTAGAGGAAATAATGATACTGTTGTTTTTTTTTTTATAAAATCATTTTGTGTCACAATATGTACAAGATTCAAAAGTAAAACAATGCTGTTACCTTCTGTTTCACTTCCTTATTCAGATTGTCTTTTTACACATGGTTTTATACGTTCTCTGCCAGCTGACATGAGATTGTTGGAGATGGGAGGAGTTGTGGTAAAACAAACAAGAGGCTAGAGCGATACGAGGTTTGTAAGGTTTTGAGGTGAATTCTTTTTGACAAAAGTGGTGTTCACATTCCTTTGTTATCACACTTGTGCAGCACTTGCAGACATTTTGTTTTATGTTTAAACATGCTAAAAGAGACTGAACATGACATGAACTAACAAACACTGAATTCTCTACATTTTGGTAGGAATAAAATAGGTTACAAAAAGCAGATAAAAGAAATGTTAAGAACACTGCAGATTTTAGGAGCACAAAAATAATATCTGTTTCAAAAGTCATGTTTAAAGTAATATTAAAAGGAAATATACCAGATTAAAATGTAAATATTACTTCTTGTTGCAACACAGTCATAATAGTTTGTTTTAGGCAAGGCGAGGCAAGTTTATTTATATAGCACATTTCACATAAGACATCAAAAGCATCATGACAGAGGCAAAAAGAAACGTAAAAATAGAAAATTTAAATATCACTATCACAAACAATTAACACCATACGGACATTCTTTGGCATTTTTACTACTTTCATACCCAATATAGAGTCGAAGCAGCTAAACAGAATTCAATCAGGAGAGACTTAATTGAGAATGAACAATTATTTATTTCACAATAAATGTGCAACAATTTCGAGTAATGAGGCCGACAGCAGGATAGGATAGCCCTTTATGGAGTCTAGACACTGGTGGTGAAGAGGATGTAGGCTCTGATGAGCCTGGATCTGGACTCTGCTGAGCTGGAATGGAGGTGACTGGGGTGGTGGTGGGTTGCAGCGGTTGCCCTGATATGACAGAATGACCGTGGGAGAGAGAGAACTGTTTTAGCATTTGGCAGCAGCAGGATGATTGGTTGAGAGAGGTTGTGCCCGAATCTGATTGGTTAATTACTTAAAGAATAAACGCCCATTATCAGCTGATCACCAGAGCAGGTAGAAGGAGGAAGTAGTTTAGGTTGAAGTGAAAGGATGAATGAATTTGTGAAAGAATATAGCCAGTCTTCCTGTCTGAACTTACGCTGAGCTCCATTTCAGGCATGTATACTTTAGCAATGGCATCAAAGTAGAAGGTTATATCTGCACAAATATGTAAAGAAGGAAACTTAAAGCAGTTAAATCAATAAACGAGGTATTCATGTGGAACAATAGAGAAGGAGCCGTAGAGCAGCTGAAGGTCAGCTGTAAGGAAATGAAAAAATGCCAATGACAACAGAGTGGTTCCTGTGTGACTCATAGGAGGGAAAGTATCAAGAACAATAAAGTTCACAGAGTCATCCTATAACGGAAAATAATAAAGCTCCATTGTTTGAAATGGCTAACGAGAAGGTTATCAGTGCTGTGCTGGTTATTCATTATTTGGTACTGATTTCATTGCCATCAGTTAAGAAAATTATTTTGGGTGCCACAAAATACAGATTAAATATATTGGTTTTGGAGAAGGTGTGGTCCCAGCTCAGCCTGCATGTCAGCCTCTGATCATAGGCATAAAAAAGAGGGGATTATTCACAGTGGGTAATGTATCGTCCTCTAGACACCACTAGATGTCACAAAAGTCTAAGGGAACATTTTAACGGCCTAAAAGTGGTTCACTCGGGATTCCTCCACCCACATTAGCCTTGTTTTTCATTCAGTAGGCAAAGGTAATGTTTCATGAAAGTGAAGGTTATTGGATTCAAAGAGGGTTTTTGTGAGGCCCAGCTTGGAATGAACAAACACAAAAAGTTCTCAGTTTATTAAGTCCCAACAAAAACCAGCAGATAATCAGAGATTGTAACAGAAAAAAAAATGTGTTATAGAATATAGATGTAATGATGTTAGTGTAACAACACCCTTTTAAAAATAATGGTTAAGTATAACACTGTGGATTATTGCTATTGAACTGACCGGCTGGACACATTTTAACCCTTAGTAATGATTATTAAAGGTTTATATTTTCTGAGCTGACAGGACTGAAATCAACCAAGAGATTAGATGTACTCCTCACAGGAGCTTAAATTTATAGGAATGAATGATTTGTATTTTGAAACAACATTTCGCTGTCCACGATTAAGTAATCCTTTATTCCCTTTATTCAAGGAAAAATTGACTGGATCAACCCTATAGTCACTACTTTTGAAAATAAGACTACAGAAATTCAGTTTAAGAGTTTAAGAGCAAATTACAAAAAATACTATGTGTCATAGTAAAAATGTTTGAATTTACACATTTAAAAGTTTTATAACATTTATCTTCTATAATCCAGTCTCAATCTGTTAGGATAATCCTCATCTTTCAGACTAAAGTTTTCCAAGTCCCACGCCAAAGTTTTGAACAACACAAACAGGGGTTTTATCCAGATAACCAAGATGGAATACCTGATGAAATAACATTTAGTTATCCCTTTATTCATTGATTCAACCCTGTTTTAATTTGTCCAATCAGCTTTAGATTTTACCCAATTAGATTTTAAACAACCAGGCCCTGGTAATTTGGCTAACTGAGAATACAGGCTCATGAGTTTGCACTTGTGAGATCACATTAATTGCTGTATTCTTTTTTTTTTTTAAACTGCCTTAGAAAACATGTTCAATCAGTACAGTGATGATGTACATAATGCAGAGCTACCTCTGCAGAGGTACAGAACCTCCCCAGCAGAGAAACTGTAACTCACACTCCCACCAGCAGAGTGTGGAAAGACCAAGTTTTTTTTGTAATTAACGTCACATGATCCCTCGTCTCTGTGTCCTTTTCCTTCCCTGCGAGGAGAATCTGATAGCTTTTAATAAGTGAAAGTAATATGGCCAAAGGGAAGAGAGGCTGGTGATGCCGAACTGACCCATGAGAGGCACTTGGCAGGAGGGGCGAGAGAGAGAGAGGGCGAGAGAGGGAAAAAATGCTGCCTTTCTTCTGCTTTGCAACCGATGAACGGAAAATGCAGTTTGGAGTTATGTTACAGTTCAGAGAGATGCGTGAGAGTACGTCAGGATCAAATATGACTCATATTCAGCGTAGTGAGGACTGATGATGATTGTATTTAGTTGAGTTGTAGTTAAGGGCAACAACTGACAGATACATTTAAGATGAACTGTAAAGAATAGCAACATTTAGTCCCCTATTTAATGTGTTTTTATTTTGATCCTTGATAATGAAACGAAAGAAGTAAACAAAACTTCAGGAACCAGTTTGTAAATGGACTGATTCTGGAGGCACATTCCATATGAACAAACACTGGGAATGGGACTTAAACGCATCGTTTTAGGCATGGATGAAGTCTGCTCATTGTAATTTTCCACTCCACAGAGCAGCTCCTCAATGAAGGGGACTGCCACGCCTTAGATGAAATACTACACTGATTACACTCTAAAACACAGAATGTCTACAGGAGCAGCAACATTATTCTATACACCAAAAGTTTTATTCAGGTTATACTTAAAGCTTTGAAACAGATGCTTGAGTCTTGGTGGGTGGAGCAGGGCACATTTCCACTGCATGAATCACAGTGTGTGAGTGTGTGAGTGTGTGTGTGTGTGTGTGTGTGTGTTTTGTGCATGCCACTGGGTTGGTCTTTGTGTGTTGGAAAACTTCTCTGCTCTCTTTAAGAGGAGGCTTTCCCACTGTCTGAAAACAGTCTCAGAGGAGACAGCTATTCAAACGGACGGGATCTCTCTCTTTACCTCGTGAACGTCAACAACAAGGTGAGTACTGATGAAAAATTAGATGGTAGGGGATAGGTGGAAAGGAAGAAAATGAAGGGTTTAATACAGATACCGAACATGAAAGATACCTAAAAATGTTTGTTAACTTGCACTTTTTTAATTGATTCAGTTCGAGAGGGCATTTTTCAAGCTTTCTTTTCATTAAACTGCAGAGAAAAGAAGCTTCAAGCATTCATCAACCACTTTATGAATCTTCTGCTCATGTCAATAAACATTAGTCTTACAAATAATCCCTCTAATGGACTGCTTTAAAGACACGTCATGCTGTTTAACTCTGAGTGTTGGAAAATATATATTTCTGTTCCTCTTTTGTTTTAAAGGTTATTATCTTTCTGCCTTTCTGTAAATTCTAACCCCTTTTGTTCCCTGCAGACTCAGCCATGGCTCGTCTGGATCAGGTCATCACAAACATAGTGGATGTTTTCATGGAGTATGCTGATGATGAAGGCAAGAAAGGCCAGCTAAACAAAGAAGAGCTCAAGAAGGTGTTGGAGAAAGAAATACAGAGCCCGGAGTTAAAAGTAAGAGATCCAACACATTGTTAACCATTCAGGTGTTCTTTAAAAAACAACAACAACAACAACAACAACATTGTATTCTGTTATTTAACTGAAAAAACAAATTCTTTAGGGTAATATTAACGCTGATGACGTTGAGGAGGCCATGAAGTTGCTGGATAAAAACCATGATGGGGAGATCAACTTCCGAGAGTTTTGTCGTTGTGTGTGTGACCTCGCCAAGTGCTACTATCAAAAGAAAAAAGGCAAAGGTTGCAAGAAAAGTAAAGGCAAAGAGCAGGAAGATGAAGAAGACTAACAACAAAGCCTTCAAATATGTCTTCAAAAATGGCAAATACATGCTGACGGTACTGTTGATATTTGTGTTGTGAACCTGCATGCAAACTGTACATTTCTTTCTTTCTTTCTTTCTCTGTATAGTGGTTTTCAAAGAAGTCTCCTTTCATAACTTAATGAGATTAATAAAATCTGTGAAGTTAAAGCTGTTGTGGGTTTTCCTCGTCTGTGTGTATGGCAATCAGTGCATGAGTCATTGTTGTGTATCTGGTGTCATTGCTGTCAAAGGAAACAAGCATGGGCTCATGAAACATTCATCAGACATTACTTGCAATGTTCTCCAGTGCACATATCACTATCGCTGCTTCCTTAATGGAAATATCTGCGCTACCCTTCCTAGTGGTTTTCACTAAAGACCCTAACAGGTCTATTTTTCTCTCAAAGTTAGTGACAATTCAAATAAATCAGGCTGCCGATATTCTCAACCGTTTGATGAAATATAGACATATCTCAAAGAGAGCTCTGACAATCAGTTCATATTCTAATGTTCATGTACATTAAATATTCAACTCCCTTCAAAGGTTTGAATAGCACTTCATCTCTCCTCATGAAAACACAAGTTCAAGCAATGGGAATGAGCCAATGCAACTTTATCTATCCTATATTTTGCATGATATAAGTAGATTTCTGTCTATACAAAGAGTCTTCCAGCCTGTTAAGAAACAGTTTACATTTAGAAGATTTAAACACTAACAGAATGTTTCAGGGACCAATATTAACAAACACAACACTGTCTAAGAAAAGTCACTGAGGGGTGAAAGGGGAAACTATTTTGGACATGCGCTTCCTATTTGGATACATCTATCATTTTATTTACACTTTTCCCATATAATTAGCACATTCCGTTATACTGTTTCATTGGGTCCATAAACCTCATTAATACATTAAAAAGGTCAAATTCAATCCAAAATTGTGAAAACATGCTGACGGCTGACAGTTAAAAAAACAATATGCTTTCATTCCGTAGACTGTAAATATTAGTTTAATTCACAAACATGCCAACAATTAAATGGGGCTTGGCTCCACCTAGTGCTCAGTTTCTGAACTACACACATGTAGAAAACATTGTGTTACCTTGTTTCTCATAAAAAGGGTTAACATAAAGGCAAAACCCCAAAACACTTTGGCTCCAGTTGTTTCATCATTAACAGAAATTAATTTATTAATTGATGTTTAACTTTTCCTGTTTTTCCACTGAGTGGAGCAACTGTATCAAATTACTTTATAGTTCAAAAGAGATGAGCACCTGCAGCAGACTATTGACTGAACAAGCATGTCATTCTCTTTAATGCACTTTAATATTGAAGAGGTTTTTTTTTTCTATGACCAATAAATAAAGAGATGAAACGTGTTAATGTCATGTGCAGAGTATATTTAAATGTCCTGTCTTTTGTAAAACATTAGGCGTATGAAGAATTGTTTTTTGGCAAGTCCATTTCTGCCCCCAAAAAAGATGACAAGTTGTTCATGGTTTGGAAAATATTCAAAGCCAAGACTGCAAAACAAAATGTCCAAATCATGGGAAATAAATCAAAATAAAGAGTTTAAAAGCACAGCTTGTTGTGTAGCTAGTTGTTTCTTCATCATGACTAAATGTCTGTTTTTGCCCATGACTTAAAGGAACGTTAAAAATGTCCATGTGCTGTCATCCTGCTGCTTTTGGTGTGATTTGATAGAGTTTGTCATAATCATCATACAATTAGATTGATCCTTTCATCACGACTCTGTCAGATAAGCTCATTCTTAAAGATAAAACTTCTAACAACATCTTCTATGTCTTGAAAAAGAAGAACCAGTTATTCTACCAGATTTGTTATCCAAGTCTACGCAACCACACCTAGTGTCAGGCAGAAACAACACTGAAGCTTCAAAGAATAATGAATGACAATACCTAGAGGTGTTAACAAAACAAGGGAGTCACTGTCCGGTTTGACTGATTTCTTGTTTCTGTTTATTCCCATCGTTGTGATGTAAACATAAAAGAGCCCACCACATCAAATTAAACTTCAGGTTTTTTTTGTACCAATTACATGTGCTTTTACACATTCTGATGGCAAGTCTCCAAGGAGTTCAAAGTAGATTCTCTGTTCACGCATTATTGATCATCCTCAGAATCATCTTCATTGCCCAATTCGCATTTGATCATCTTTCCCATCAGCATACAGAACATCCTGAGGTCGTCACACTTCCCATCAGGCCTCCTGCGATGACAGCGCTCCCTTCCTTGCCCTCCTCTTTGCTTCATTTTAGCCTCCATTTTAGCCTAGAGGAGAGACTAGTAGATTAAACAGAAAGTCTGAAGAAGAAGCAGGGTAAAAACTAAATCTGTTACGTGTACATGAGCATCGTAACGTCATGTCATGTAAACTGAAAGTGACGAGTTTCTTACTCTAAACTCAGGGCAGTCCTTCAGCGCCACAATATCCTTCATGAGCTCCTCCTTTTGCAACTGGTTGTCTGCGTTCAAGTGTTTCTTGTAAAAATTAGCAAGGGTTGTGATGGCATCTTTCACTTCAGTGTTAGCTGGTTAAAAACAGACAGAAAAAAGAGATTTGATTCTGAAGTAAGAGAGAGGGATGCAGATGATACGTTTTTGTTGTTTTTGACATTATACAATATATTGTCAAGCCATTAGAATATCCTGTATCATTTAATGACAAGATGCATATGACTATACTGAAGTAAAAAAACAAACTATAATAACAAATGTTCAGTTCTTCTTAGTTGGCAGCAGCACAGAATAAAGCTCTTTAATAAAACATCCATTTCAGATAAAGAAAAATGCTGCCAGTTTATAGCCGACATGATCTGATTTGCGTCCATGTCTCAGTTATTTTTCTCTCATTAATGCTAAAGCCTAACTTATGTCAGATAGGGTCTTCTCTTCCACAAACCTCCCTCCCTCCATACCTTCCCTCCCTTCAGCACTCACCTTCCATTTTTTTCCTTGACCAGGTGAAGAGAGACCACGTCCGTGTCAGCAACTTGGTCCTAGATGAGACTGATGTCAGACTGAGGGTAGATAGCTCCTTTTTATAAGAGCAGACAAACAAAGCCTAAAACACTTGAAAAATCCTGTACAAAGAAACCAAACATGATTCATGTCCTGAAAATCTGATCCACTCCTCATAAACCGGATTCACCAGTCGTACTGTGAAAAAAGGGGATTTAAAAAAAGCTCCAAATGTGGCTCAAAGTTTGTACTGCCTGCAGTTTGTACACGGTGACATTGTTCTAATGGACACATTGATATATGTTTGGCAACAATGAGTGAGCAGAATGAATGTCTGATGTGTGTTTTTGTGTGTGTTTATGTTTAGTGTGTCTCTATGCATGCACACCTGTTCTGCAACACATCAAACTGCAAAGACAAAAATCTTTGAGAATTCATCAAATCAAAGTTTATTTAGACCTATACCACGTTTAAAACAACCACAGTTGACCAAAGGGCATGAGAAAACATTAAAGAAAACATATAAAAAGAAGAATAAAAACACAATGCAATGTTTTATTGACTTAGTGAACTCTTTACATATTCTATAAATAGTTTTTAAAATTCCCTAACCCCCTTAGTCACCAAAATGCACACCTTATTTATCAATATATGTTCATGGCAAATGTTTGTGCAGATATTTTTTGTAAGTTGCTGAAAATGTATAGTTAACCTGCAGAAAAGTTAGCATTTACCGGATTCCAATAGTCATTGAATGCCTCATCATGATGTTACCACTGAATCAATTCCAGTTTGTGCCTCTACATCTTCATAATGACAAACTCTTTGCTAAATAATAACTATAACTGCATTCTCTTATCTGTCCACAAGGGGGAGCAAGTGTATCAGTACTGCAGCACACCCTTGCCCTAATAAACGTTGTCTTATATAAGTTTAAATGTTCAGAAGAGGGGCGTTTTTATTTGACCTTTATCATTCCTGATACAGTACAACTGATATAAATAAATAAATGTGTGAAAACTAAACTGTTCATGACATCTGCAGAGTCTGTTTAAATTTTCTGTCTCCTGTAAAACACATATACGGCTCATGAAGAATTGTTTTTGCATGTCCATTTCTGCCTATGAAAATATGAGAAGTTTGATTAGAAATGACTCACAGTCGACCTCAAAGACAACCGGAGAAAATTGTGAGAAGAAAAAAGACAAAACTGCAGAATAAAAAGTCAAACTCATCTGATAGTAAATCAAGTCAATGAGATAAGAAGCATACCTTTTGCCAGTCTTTGTTAGAGATTTTATTCTATCATGAATCATGAATGATCTGATTTGATCTTTTTTTTCTTATCCATGGTATCTGCCTCTTGGTGTCTACATACAGGTGTGTCATTGTCCTCAAAGAAAGTTAAAACTGTTTTTAGAAATCATTTTATTCCTCTGTGATCCCACTCCTTCATAGTGTGTGTGCTTAGACAGAGCTGTTATTGATACCATAAACAAGATGAAATCAGATTGATCTTTTAATCAGAGCTCTGTAAGATGACAAAAATGCTAATTTGCTTCATTAAAGCTCATGTGAGAGAACTTTCAGTTTGTATCCATTTTGACGCCCTCTTGGACAAAGTATTATCTTGCCTCTCTTCGCTGATCTGGTCCTGTACCGGCACATAGGGAGTGTTTTTTGACAAGAAATCCATCATGCTTTCTCTCCACAGTCAAACGTATCAGTCACTCAGTGGTGACTATAATCTGTTGGGGCCTAAGGCAAACACATGCCCTCCAACAAGCATTCATAGGGCCTCCTGGTCTGGGGCTCTAAACGATTGCCTGTCTTGCCTGTTGACAAACATCACCTCTTCAGTCACTCAATCTTTGCAGTGTAAAAAAAAAAAAAAGGAATAAATTGCTGTTTCAGCAACTTTCTGTAAATGACCTCTTCTGCCGCCTACCCTCTGGCAGTGATTAAAAATAACTTTTATAACAAGTCAGTATTCATGGTGATGATCTCGTTTGCTTTTGTTGGTCATAAAGAGGCATCAATATGAATTTTAGTCTGTTTTATATCCAGCTAAAAGTTCCTTACAGGAGCTTTAAGTTGATTCTACTAACACAATCTTATGTGTCCATAAAAAAAATGTTTCTGCTTGATTTCCCCCTCAAAGAAGAACACATCTGAGGTTGAGGCAGAGACAA